TTCCTTGGAAAATCTGGACCTACTCCAGAGATGGGGAACCTGTAGCCCTCCAGATGTTTCTGGACTCCAGCTCCCACCAGCCTCAGCCACATGACTAATGTCTAACAACATCTGGAGGGCTAGAGATTCAGTCCACATCATTAGGAAATGTAGTGATGGACACCAACTTGGATGGCTTTAAAAGAACATGAGACAATTTTGTGGAGAATAAGATTATCCATGGTTACAAGTCATGATGGCTATTTTCTCTCATTTATATATATGTGTGTGTGTATGAACCACGGAAAGATAATATATATATATATTCATTGTGTTTTACAATTTAAAATACTCATTTTACACCCTTAAGATATCAATGACTTCCATTCTTCTCTTTCCATGGTTCATTTTACATATCATAAATCCCTGCATATTTTACAAAAGCTGTATCAATCAGTATTCCATTATTGCATCCATCAAAACTTATTTACACTGTTGAATGTATCCTAATGCTGCCAGCGTTTTCAGCTGTACACAATTATTTCCCATATATTCAATAAACATTTTCCAGCCTTCTTTAAATGTTTCTTCTTCTTCTCTTATTCTTATATTAAGTCTGCAAGTTGTGCATATTCTGCCAACTTAAGTTGCCAATCTTATTTGGTTGGGACCTCGCTCGTTTTCCATTTTTGGCTAACAAAACACAGGCCGCAGTAGTAGCATACATAAATAACCTTGGCTATTTTCTGTCTCTATTTTTGGATAGAGTATGCCTCTGACTGTGAGTCGCTGAGAATCAGAGGTAGGGAGAGTGCTGTTGAGATTGGGTCCTTCTGTGAAAATAGGATATTGGACTAGATGGGCCATTGGCCTGATCCAACAGGGCTCTCTTTAGGACCTCTCCTATATAATTGATTTGAAAAATCAGAAGCCCTTTGCATCTCTTCCCCCACAGCCCTTGGATAGGACAAGCTATTCCTTGCTGAAATCCCCTCTTAAAGGTACACAAACTGTCACTATTTTGGGGTGGGATTCAATCACATACTGGTTAATTCACATTGCACAGCAAACCCATCCCCCCCCAAAAAAAGAAGAAGAAGAGAGAAACCTGAACTTTTTACAATAAGAAAAGTTATTGGAAAATGCACTCGAAAGTGCAGGATAAAAAGTGCTTGCATAAAAAGTAACGGTAACCAAATCAGAAACAGCTGACTTCAACAGGGTGATGTTCTCTAACCTCCCCAAGATCTTTATACAAATGAATAAGGATGAGTGCTGAATAAACAGGCTACCTGGAAGCAATGTTGCATTTTAACATACAGCCACAGGCTTAAATGATAGGGCAGTTACGGTGATCTAATGCAAGAGTGAATGCGAAAAAAGCAGTAGCCTTCAATCGCATTTAGGGTAGTCGGATGCAAGTTACACCATCACAACTATTACAGGGGCAGAAACCCTGCCTTTGGTTTCACTAAGACCATGCTAGTAATGTACTTACAAACCAGATGGTTGCATTACATGGATTTTAAAGGCTTGCTCCTTAATTAAAGAACTGGAAGTGATCATGCCTGTTTCATCCTTTTGTGTACTGCTCAATTTTGGAGATAGATGCAGTCTCGCACACTGGGGCAGCCAAGGGTTGGGTTCTCTTTAAGATAAAATGTTTGCAACTTGTTTCAGGGCTAAGTTCATTGGCCCAAGCTGAAGCTAAGCACCTTATCTCTCTATATAAACGGTCTCTGGAGGCTTAGGAGGCTGCTGAGTTACAGTTTTTGTAAGCGGCACTGACTCCTTCAGGGACCTAAAAGTGGTAGGAAAATGCTGAAACTTGAATGGAAGTTTTTAATCTGTGATTTTACTGTATCTTTGGTTTCTATGGAAGCCGCCCAGAGTGGCTGGGGCAACCCAGCCAGATGGGCGGGGTACAAATAATAAATTATTATTATTATTATTATTATTATTATTAATTATTATATGTTGGCATAGTATGCTTATTCTCTGGTAACTTAGAGGGCATTTCAGCTATATTATTATTTGCTTTGGAAACTTCATTTTTGTAGTATTTCTTATTAAAGGCTTAGAGGCGTTGCCTGTGCCTTGGAAAGGTGCTCTTTAATCCTTATTTCCCAGGGCTGTAAGAAGGATTAAAAAAAACCCCTGTTGCTTCATCTGAATAGCAGTAGTGAAGATGAAAGAGGCTTGTTTCAAAGTCTTCTGATGCGCTTAATATTTTTTAAACAGGACACTCTAGCAATGATGACATTGTAGTAAGCAGGAGTGAGTTGCAGGGTTGTACCTAACCACAGCTTGCCAAGAAAAAGTACAGTAAGTGAGGAGTTGGGCCTGTAATTGGGGAATGTGGAGAATTGGAGTTCTGTTTAACATTCCTCCAATTGACAAGCTTTGGTGTTATCTAGAACTTAGTCACAGCTGGAAAGCTTAGAAAAAGAAACAAGTCATAACTGAATGTGGAATCCTTTGTCTATAAAACCTTGAATCTGTAAAGCTAGCCATAAATTTGAAGATTTGTTGAACTGTGTTCTGCTTGAGAAAACATTATAGGGTGCCCATTCAATGTAATTAAGATGTTCAAACTAAAGTATGGTAAAGTGATTTGAATGCTGTGACCTTTCTGAAACCTTTGGAATCTAACTTTGAAACAGATAGGAAGAACAGCTTAGAATCAGTTTTTAAGAATTAACTTGGAAGGCTGGAGATAGCTAGAACTAGCTGACTTGGAGCAGAGGGTAATAGATTTGTTGTCTGTGCTCTGAGATCAGCCATTTTGCTGTTACATAGGCCTGTTTCTGGTAGGTGACTTCTAAACCAACATTGGCACCACTAATCACCAGTACATGTAGACACAAACAAAGCTAAACTCTTTAGCCTTCTCATTGTAGACACAAACAGCAGGTTGCATGTCCCAACTCCACCATGGAAGGGAAATAACAATTTGCAATTCTCTATCTATGAATGCAAAACTTGATATTACTTGATTGCAATGAGTTCCTGTTCCCCCTATTTCCTCGCTATTGGTAAAATTTAAGAAATGCTGTTCTTACTGCTGCCAACAAAAGCTTAAAGCAAGGAAGAAATTCCAGTAAAAATACTTCTGTTTGCTTAATTTCCTCCTCTTGTGTAAGATTCTCTAGTCTTCTTCTCAAAGAGTTGCTCCTTGTGTTTTACCTTGCCTTGCCTTGTTTTTTTATGTTTATTAGTTTTCTTACTTAACAAACACACACACAAAATTAACAAAAATGATAAAATAACAAAAAAACCCAAAACATCCATAAATCCATACGTTCTTACAAAAGAACTTATGCCACCATGTTCTTAATTCCCAGTTCCTTATCTTCCCCAATAGACTTCCATCTTTTTCAAAGCGGGTCTGTCTTACCTGTTTAATTAACTGCTTCTTTAACCATTTTGCCATTTCTTCTGTTATCTGAATACTAACAATCCATATTGTAGTTTGTGAAAATTAATCAAAGCATGCCCAGGTTTTAACTTGAGGGCACTGTTTTTTTAAAAAAATATTCTTTATAAATTTCCCACTCCTTTTTGAACTCTTGGTTTGGCTGTCTTCTAATTGTCTCTGTCATTTTTGCCTGTTCAAGATATTCAAATAATTCCTCTTTTGTTGGTACTAATTCTCCTTTCTAACTTCTGGCAATTAATATTCTTGCTGCCGTTGTAGTATAGCATATAAAAATATTCTCTTTTTTTCATTTGGAATATCTGAATCTAAAATGCCTAAGAGGGAGGCTTCTGGTTTCTTTATGAAGGTTTTCTTAAACAATTTTTTCAATTCTTCAAATATAATATCCCAAAAATTCTTAATTTTTTTGCAACCCCACCACATATGAAAGTGTCCCTTCTGCCTGTTTACACCTCCAGCACGTACTAGATCTTGTTTTATAAATTTTGGATAGTTTGCTGGGAGTTATATACCACCTGTAAAACATCTTCAAAAGATTTTCCTTCAGTGTATAACAGGCCATAAATTTCCATTCTTTATTCCATAATCTTTCCCATGCCGATAGTTGGATATTTTTACCAAAATCTTTCTCCCACTTAATTATTACTTCTTTCACCTCTTCATCTTTCACTTCCCATTCTAGAAGAAGCCTATACACTCTCGATATTCTTAAAAAAATATAAAAAATTATCAGTATTATTTGACTCTACCTGTTTTCCACCAGGAGCCTTTAGCAAATAACTCAGATTCTAGTTTAGAGCATACCATCAGTAACATGTCTCTAAGTCAGTGTGTCTGCTGTCTTTCTGACATATGTGCTTACACATACATACACCTGTGAATGACAAAGGCCAAAATATTTATCCATGAAGAATCTTTCTATCTTGGCTCTAGGCTGGAATGTCAGCCTAATTCTAAACTTGGGGTTTAATCTTGTGTGTAAAACTGTTTGCTAATATATGCATTTTGGGGCACGTTGCTTGGCTGGAGAACTTCATTGCAAAATTCAGAGACATGCAAGTTTCAAAGGCAGTGTTGACTCTCATACTGTACTGTGCATGGGGAACGTAAATCAGATTTGCCTTTAAATATGAATTAAATAAAATTTCTACCCCCTCCCTACCTGTGAGGTGCAGAAACTGTAAACCACACTCGGTGCTTGGGAATGTGGGGAGTGCATATTCAGCTATTAAATGTAGCTCTTCCTCACTGGTATATAAACAACCATTGGCTGGCAATACAGGTTTCAGAAGCTAGATTTTCCTCCATTTCTGTGGTTTAGAGGAAACTCCCCTACCATACCTGCTGCAGTGCTCTTAATAGTCGCTTGCAGCTGATGCAATTTCCTTTTTTGAAAATGAAAATAAAAGTGTTCATTTTTTAACCTTTCCTCCAATTTACCTCTCAAAGCAAAAGAGCATTTGCAGAGCTGAAATGAAGCACACTGTCTTTTCTATATGTTCCAGGTTCTTCTCCTTGCTAGAAAAGTACAGGTTTCACCACATTCCTTTTTCTCCCCCTCAGACTAATCCCTCTGTAAATAATGGTCCTGGAAGACAGCACGGCCACCACTCAAAGCTCTAGGTCAGAGCAGCCTACTTGTGTCATTTGGGGTAAGAAGTTTTGCTTCTCTGTGCGTACAAAGAAGCCTTTGCTCAATGGCTGGTGAGGGTTTTCTGAGATCTCCTTTATTTCGCACAGGATGTCGGCTAGATGGTAAGAACCCGAACTACACATTTGATATTCCAGAAGAGGAGGCATATGAGCAGCAGCTGTCCCTGAGGACAGTAAGTAACTTGCTAGCCTTGTCGGTGAAGGATATCTAACAGTTGGCTGGCCATGGTATGTAGCATCTAGTTCACATATGGTGTGTGAGAAGGTTTGACTTTGGGTGTATATAGAGCAGGTAAGCGGATGGCGCTGTGGGTTAAACCACAGAGCCTAGGACTTGCCGATCAGAAGGTTGGCAGTTCGAATCCCCGCAATGGGGTGAGCTCCCGTTGCTCAGTCTCAGCTCCTGCCAACTTAGCAGTTCGAAAGCACGAAGTGCAAGTAGATAAATAGGTACCGCTCTGGCGAGAAGGTAAACGGCATTTCTGTGCGCTGCTCTGGTTCGCCAGCAGTGGCTTAGTCATGCTGGCCACATGACTCGAAAGCTGTACGCCGGCTCCCTCAGCCAATAAAGCGAGATGAGCGCCACAACCCCAGAGTCAGTCACGACTGGACCTAATAGTCAGGGGTCCCTTTACCTTTAGAGCAGGCAAGGGGGGGAGCCTCTTCAGCCTTAAGGTCACATCCCTTTGTGCCCAGTCTTTCATGGGTCACAGGGTAGAGGCAATAGTGGGTGGAGCTATGGACCCGACTCTTCCATTTGTTCAACACACTACATTCCAGGAAAGTCAGAGGTTTCTACCCACACACCTGTCTTCATCTAGGCAAGCAAGAAGCATTGCATTCCCCCTGCTCTTTGGTCCTCCCCAGTATCAAGAATAAGAGACATGACAACCAATATTTGGGTGAAATCAGGCCACAGCTTCAATGACAACGGATGTAAGAGGTTTGGCATAGGCATTGGGTAGATCCCCATGCCTTCCAGCCCACCAGAAATGACGGAGTCCCAGGGAGTAACTCCCCCACTGGATTGCACCTGGGGAGTGCTGTGGCCCTTCACCCCCACCTGGGTATCCAGACAGACGCATCTCCCCTGGATCCTTTTTAATGGGGTGCTACATTCCAGAAAAGTCAGAGGTGTCTACCCACACCCATGTCTCCATCTAAGCAAGCAAGAGGCATTATTATTGTTCAAGGATACATTCTGCATGAGGAAGGCACAGAGCAGGGCCAGTAAATGTGTGGCCTGCAGACAGCCTTGAGGGCCAAAGACACATTTGGCCCCTGAGGTTGCCTGTTCTTTGGTACAGAGTACCTATCCCTGACCACTTGTGGCTCATAACTAGAGGACCACAAGTTCCTCACCCATGACCAAGCCAATACCCCATGTCCCTCCACCCAGCTTATTCTGCAAAGTTCAGTTTCTGCAGCCAAGTCAAACCAAAATGAACTGTAATGTTACATGACCTCTGTTCACATGTAGCTCATATCTCGCATGCCAGGGCATGGTTGAGTTCAGTGTCTGGAGGTTCCCTATATTTGGCCTAGGCCTTGAAGTGGTGTGGAACTTCACATTGCAGTGGGAAAGAGATAACCCAGTTCAGTATCTCACTTTGCTTGTTTCTTATTTGCAGTCCATTTGATGGCAAGAATCTGATTGCAGTCTACATTATAGCTAAAATAAAAACACTGTACTTGGGGTTGGCTCATGGGGGAACTATCATGGTGTTATGCGAAAGATACAAGACTACTTTCAGAAATGGTGGTCTTACTACAATTTCTTTGAGGTCTTGATGGCTTTGATTTCTGCCAAAAGGTCTGCCTAGGGGAAAATGCAAGGGATGAACTCAATATGGTGGAGATCTTGCCCCCCAAAGATAGCAAGCCATCTACTGCAGTGCACATAGCAACCTTGAAACTTTCTGTGCTTCCAATGGTGAGTACTTCCTTTGCCATTTATTTATGCATTTTTTTTAGAAGTGTTGATTACCTCTGCCAAAATAATTTCCAGACAGCTCAAATGTATTGCCTGGACCTCCCAAAAGATCTGACTGGGGAGGCCATCAACTAGAGGAGGACTGATTGTTGTTAGCCGCCCTGAGCCCGGCTTCGGCTGGGGAGGGCGGGATATATATATTATTATTATCTAGTAACCTATCAAATCTATCAAAATGGAATAGCTGTTGATGTCATTGTTATGATATGTGTATTGGTGAGTGTCTCAAAATATGAACTTGTGTACCCTCCAGGTTTCCTTAATGGGACTTGACCTGGCTCTTCCTGTCACATTCAGGCTAAAATCAGGCTCTGGGCCAGTCTACCTTGCCGGACAATATTTATCAGGTAATGTCTACTGGGGTGGGAAATCCTTCTCAGCTCAAGGACTGAATTCCTTTCCAGGGACCCCATGTCAAGGGTGGGTGAGGCCAGAGAGAAAAGTGAATGTGACTCATGGGCCGGAGTTTGGTAAATGTATTGCAGGGGAGTGCAGAAATACGTAGTCTGGTAAGACAGCTGGTTGAAAGAATAAATAAACTTAAGTTTATTAGTCGTGGCAAAGAAAGCCATTCTGAGCATAGGTTTTACACATGGCCAAGATAGAGCCAAAAACTAATGGTAGCCCATGCTAACTCGTACTGACTAAACGGAAGAAGAATCCGGAAGGGAATAAAGCCAGAAAGGAAGTGAACTAACTTACCAACAAGTATTTACTAAGAGAGATGAAATTGGTGAGGAGGAAGAACAGGTTGGCCCTTTGTCTGTCCCTCCTGACTGGTTCAGATAACTCATTGCAAGCATGGTTGCCTTAATCCCAACCTCTTGTCATAGGGACTGCATTCCAGCTATGCAAAAAATTGGAGGTTTCTACTCATGAATACACACCATTCTCATTTTATTTAGCCAAGCAAGAGGCATTATCTTGCTTCAGGGGTGCAATTTCAGCCAGGGACCCTTTAGACCCCCTCCTGTGGTCTAAAGCATGTGATTGTGAAGGGAAGATGCAAAGTTGATTTGGAGATGCACCAAGTACGCTGTCTGACAAAGGCTCTCCTGAAATCTATTTATCCTGTAACTTGGGGTGGATACATGCCTTGATAGTTGCTTATCCTGTATCCTGTTTCCCCATAGGCATCTGAATTTGAGTTTATGTCATCCATGAGCCCAGGTGGGCTAAATCCTGCTGACAGGCTAGTGTTTCTCCCCTTGCATTCACACACACCCCTTATATCTTTATTGCTGCCTCATTCATGCATGCATGTGTTTGGGCATATCAAAATACTGCTATTGCTTAAGTGCTGCCTGAAACCAAGTGCTTTCGAAAAAGCTGCTGCTTGCATTACCAGAATAATCATCACGAGTAACTCTTTCTCCCATATAATCCTGGGGATTTCCTGTGGCTATCATTTTAGATAAGGAAAACAGACATAAATTACATCTACAAAATTTAACGTGGCATCTAGGTTTGCCCACAGAGTCCAGCTGTCTAATAATAATAATAATAATAATAATAATAATAATAAAAAATAAATTTATACCCCGCCCATCTGGCTGGGTTTCCCCAGCCACTCTGGGTGGCTTCCAACAAAATATTAAAATACAATAGTCTGTTAAACATTAAAAGCTTCCCTAAACAGGGCTGCCTTCAGATTTCTTCTAAAAGTCTGGTAGTTTTTCTCTTTGACATCTGGTGGGAGGGCATTCCACAGGGTGGGTGCCACTACCAAGAAGGTCCTCTGCCTGATTCCCTGTAACTTGGCTTCTCGCAGCAAGGGAACTGCCAGAAGGCCCTCAGTGCTAGACCTCAGTGCCCAGGTGGATAGATGGGGGTGGAGACGCTCCTTCAGGTATACTGGACCGAGGCCGTTTAGGGCTTTAAATGTCAGCACCAACACTTTGAATTGTGCTTGGAAATGTACTGGGTGTCAGCAGTAAACCTGGCCGTTTACCTGTGGCTTGATTAATCATGGTAAATTTTCATACACCGCCTCCTACATGATCATGAGCCAAGTCTCCTCTTGCAGTTGGTCCCCCTTTGGACGAGGATGAAGATCAGGAAGAGTCCTCTAATGAAGAAGAGGAGATGGAGGCTTCTTCCAAGGAAAACCTGTCAACAAAGACAGATGAGATGGAGGCTTCTCCTGTAAAACCTGTCAAAGCCCAATCTAGCAAGCAGGCAAGCACATCGAAGGAAGAGCCACCACAGCCTGTTCAGGAGGACTCTCTGGTAAGCCTACACTCATGTATTTAGAGAATCTTCACCTGATGTTATTTTCCATACACTCTGGCTTTCGCGATGGTGTTCCACTGTGCCAGAAGCAAGTTAGTCATGGTGGCCACATGACCTGGAAAGCTGTCTATGGACAAACACTAGACTTAACCACCCTGGGGTCCTTTATTTTTTACCTTTTTACCTATTCATGTAAATAATTTGTTTACCCCTTAACCCCAGTCATCTCTAAGCAGTGTACAAGAAATCTAAAGGTAAAACTCTGTTAAATCCAACTTCAGTTAAAATGTCTGCGGAAATTTGTTTTTAAAATTCCTTCAGTGGGCACTGGGAAAATAAAACACGACTGGTATAGAGAAGTTATTTCCCCACTTAGGTTTAGAGATCTCCCCCTTCCTAAAAATTGGTCATAGAAAGCTAGCCTCTATGACTATACTGAAGTATTTTAGAATTTATTTTTTCATACAGAATAATGACGCTCCCTTGTTGCATTTCAGACTTGCAACACCCTTGGTCTAAACAGCCAGGCTAGATGAACAGAAAACCTAGAAAATGTATTGGGTGGGTTTGGCAGTGGCTAGAGCAGATCCAAGACTGTTGCCCCAAAGGTACTGCAGGATACAGAAGCAGCACTCTAGGACTTCCTTCAGTGTTTGGAGTGACCCTCTCGCTTTATTGGTGCTCCTAAAAATATTGCCCTCCTTCTTTGCATCGTGATCTTCATGAAAGTGCCGTTTAAACTTTCTTCTACAGGGGAGAAGAGGAAGCAGAGGGGGGAAGGCTGCAAACAAGGGACAACTGCGATTATAAGTTCTGATGGAAGGTAAGGTAGAAGTGACATAAGAACATATACCGAGGTCAGAGCATTGGGCTATCTAGCCTAGCACTGACTGGCAGGAACTCTCCATGGTGCTGAACAGGAATCTTTCTTAGCCTGACCTGGAAATACTGGAGATGGAAGTTGGGACCTTATGCATGGTAAAGCAGAAGCTCCACCAGTGAGCTACAGCCCTCCCCCAATGTTGTTGACCTTCTTGATGATGGTTGAGAGAAGAAATAAATTCAGGATAAAAAGCACAAACCCAGGGCTTGCTTTCCTACACAAGACAAGCTAGATTGTGGCTACAGGACTTCCCTAAGGTGGATAGCGACACTTGTTAATACACAAGTGTCCCATTTCTCCTGGCCTTGTGGGAATATATTCCTGCTCCTATCTGGTCTTTGATGGCTGTATACATAAGAAGATCCTTTTGGATTAGGCCAGTTGCCCATCTAGTCCAGCAACCATCTGTGACCAACCTGCAAGCAGGACCTAAGCAGAAGAGCACTCTCTCGCCTTGTGGATTTCCAGCAGTTGGTATTCTAGAGCATTACTGATCCTAGGCATGGAGCAGAACCATATTGGAGGGCAGAGCTATCAATTGCTACTTGCCATGATAGCTGTGCTCTGTCTCTATGGTTGGGGGCAGAAAGGCTCCTGAGTACCACTTGCTGGAAACCACAGGAGGGGGACTGCTTTTGAGCTCAGCTTCCGCTTGCAGGTTTTCTATAGCTACCTGGTGTTGGCCACTGTTAGAACAGGATGCTGGACTAAATGAAATGGCAACGAGATCGCACTGGCCTATTTATTTTGAATGTTTTATGTGATGCCAATAAAGGTTTGATGATGTTGATGACTAGATGAGCCATTGGTCTGCCTCAGCAGGCTCTTCATATATTCAGCTATAGGTTCTTTTTGCTCCAGATTCTTTTTGCTCTGTTGCAGTTGAGTGAAACCAAAAGAGTTTCAAGGAATGATTATTGTTATTGTTATTAATTATTAAATGTCTATACTGCTCTTCATCCAAGGATTGCAGGGTGGTTTGCAATATAAAAACATAAAAATGCATAACACAGTAACAACAACAACAATAATAAAAATACCACCATAGTTTGCTGAATTAACCAAAGGCCCATAAGAAGAGAAATGATGGGGCTTTTTGGTATCTTCTCAGGCAATTATGCAGCAGTTACAATCAATCAATGAATTAATCTTAATTGTGGTCAAAGATCAGACAGCAGTAGCAGTCACAAATATAGGCGCTTTCCCCATGAAGGAGCTGATTCTGGGAGACCCTCTGGTGTTTGGAACCTTGACGGATGCTTTAGGGACTCCCTCCCAGGCACAAGGACCAGTGTTTATCCCAGTGTAGTTCACAAGGGTCTGTAGAGTATCCTCTATCCATAAATACATGTGACAATGTTCTAGAAAATCCTAACACTTCCTTTTTCCTTTTTCCAGGAACCGAAAGAAGTGCTGGGTCTATTTAGCAGAGCTCAGAAGAAATAAAATGTGCATAATGTATTATTCCTGAGTCTGAATCCATCCTTTTTTCTTAATCTGACTGGAATTTAAGCAAGACTGACCCTCAACAATGGCAATTCCTGTGGCAACTGAAAAGAACAGGTCCTACAAGATGCTGGCTTTTAACAAGCTTTATTTATTTTTTCCTAACAGTGGTTGAAGTTTGGAAAAGGAGGACTGATGGTTCAGTCCCCTTTTAAGTAACAGAACAGCCAAAACACGAATAAGCTTTGTGACTTGCCTTTTTAGAGAAATATGGAAACACTTGCAGGAATACCAGGGGTGGCCTGTGACGTTTTGGTGCCTGAGGCAAAATGCCCCACAGCTGCAATGAGGGGGATTATGGGGATGTACAAGGGCTTCTGCTTCAAGAATAAGCCCTTGCAGAGCCCCCAGGGGTGGGGGGTGGGCATGTCTTCGAGGAAAAGCCCTTTTGAAGCCTTGCTGCTAGGTGGGGGGCAGAGAGGCTTCAGATTCTGCAGGTCTTGCACTGGACCTCTTGCTGTGAGTAATGAGGAAGAGGCTGGAGGTGATCTGAGTTCACCAACTGGTTTCAGAATGGGAGTACAACAATAAAACAAGTGTATAAACTAATAACCATAAATACATTTTAATAATAATTTTATTATTTATACCCTATCCATCTGGCTGGGTTTCCCCAGCCATTCCGAGCAGCTTCCAACGTAAAAAAAAGGTCAAACATTAAAAACTTCCTGCTAGAGGGCTGCATTCAGATGTCTTCTAAAAGTTATACAGTGGTGCCTCGCAAGATGAAATTAATTTGTTCCACAAGTTTTTTCTTCTTGCGAGTTTTTCGTCTTGCGAAGCATGGTTTCCCATAGGAATGCATTGAAAATCAATTAATGCGTTCCTATGGAAACCGGCTTCAGACCAGGTCTGGGGACAGTCTGTCCCCCGACCTCTTCTGAAGGCTGGGGGGGGGGACAAGGGCTTTTCTTCCCACCCCCAGCATTTTAAAAAACCCCGGGACAGCGGAGGGCTTCTCTGCTGTCCGGGGCGATCTTAAAATGCTGGCGGGCGGCATTTTAAGATCGCCCCGGGACAGCAGAGGACTTCTCCACTGTCCGGGGCGATTTAAAAGCCCCTGGGAAGGCAGGCAGGGGGGACAAAGACTTTTGCCCCCCGCCAGCCTTCAGAAGAGGTCCTGGACAGGGGGTCCTGCCTTCAAAAGCCCTCCGGGACAGCGGAGAAACGCGCCGCCCGGGGCGATTTTAAACCCGCTGTCCCGGGTTTTTTTAAATGCTGCCGGGCATCCTTCCGAAGCCGGGCGGCGGGAGGAGGTGTTCCCGCCCCACCGCCCGGCTTCAGAGCAGCCTTCCGAAGCCGGGCGGCGGGAGGAGGTGTCCCTGCCCCACCGCCCGGCTTCGGGAGGAGGTATCCCCGCCCCGCCGCCAGGCTTCGGAGGAGGTCCGAGGACAGTGGGGAAGACACGCTGCGCTTCCCCGCTGTCCCGGAGATTTCCCTATGGGCTTTCGTCTTGCGAAGGAAGCCCATAGGGAAATTCGTTTTGCGAAGCGCCTCCAAAATGGAAAACCCTTTCGTCTAGCGGGTTTTCCGTCTTGCGAGGCGTTCGTCTTGCGGGGCACCACTGTATAGTTGTTTATCTCCTTGACATCTGATGGGAGGATGTTCCACATGGCGGGCGCCACTGCCCAGATGATCCTCTAGTTTCCTGTAACTTCACTTCTTGCAGTGAGGGAACCGCCAGAAGGCCCTTGGAGCTGGACCTCAGTGTCGGGGCTGAACGATGGGGGTGGAGATGCTTCTTCAGGTATAATGGGCCGAGGCCGTTTAGGGCTTTAAAGGTCACCACCAACATTTTGAATTGTGCTTTGGAACGTACTGGGAGCCAGTGCGGATTTATTTAGCACCGGTGTTATATGAATCCGGCTGCCACTCCCAGTCACCAGACCTCCTTAAAATGCATGAAATTAGGTAATGGTAAAGGGACCCCTGACCATTAGGTCCAGTCATGGCCAACTCTGGGGTGCGGCTCTCATCTCGCTTTATTGGCCGAGAGAGCCGGTGTACAGCTTCTGGGTCATGTGGCCAGCATGACTAAGCCACTTCTGGCGAACCAGAACAGCGCACAGAAACGCCGTTTACCTTCCCTATTTATCTACTTATACTTTGACGTGCTTTCGAACTGCTAGGTTGGCAGGAGCAGGGACAGAGCAACGGGAGCTCATCCCATCATGGGGATTCGAACCGCTGACCAGCAAGTTTCTGATCAGCAAGTCCTAGGCTCTGTGGTTTAACCCACAGCGCCACCCGCATCCCAAAACGCATGAAATTGGCTGCTGATAAAAACAGCTTCAAACTGTGTGGCTTTTTCCAGTTTATACCCTCTCTTGTGAAGGTCTGAGCCAAGAGGTGCATCTTCACAAACAGATGAAAAGTGCCATGTTGGGGGTAGATGCACCTCTGAAGAGAAGCTATTCTAGAGATGAGATACTGTGGCTAAGGCCTTACATGGGGAGCCCCACTCCCCAATCTCTACCCAGTGATGGAACCACAGGTTGGGGGACTCTATGGCAGATCTTAAAACATGAACAGGGTGATATGGGAGGAAATATTCTAACTATTGTGCTGGAATCGGCCTTTTCACTGCTTGAAAAACAAAACACCACACCCACATTTTGATACAGCTGTCATTTTCAGGCATGACCTTCTGACAGGTATACTTTTTTGTTTTTTGTTGAGAGCCTGGCTATTGAAGACAGCACACCCTGTTACAGCTTTACCACCCAATAGCGGTTATGTTAAACATAAAAAGTCTGTCGGGAAAATAGCAAAGCACCCTAAAAATCAACTATGGCACAACCCAAAAACAATTGTCCTTATAGGTAGAAAAGTGGATTTAAAAAAAATTCTTGTGGAATCTATTTTCTCAAATGATTGCTTTCCTGGCAACATATAATCTAAACCAGGTAAGGTGAACTCCAGATGCTCCTGAACTAAAATTCCCATCAACCCCAGCAAGCGTGGCCAGTGGGCAGGGATGATGGGAGTTGTGATATAGCAACCTCTGAAGGACAAAGTGTTCCCTTAAAGTGGGTGGAAATTGTCAGCTTTAAAAACAAACAAAAATGTACTGTGGTTTGGAATTGTTATGGTTTAGCATTTTTCATACCAGAAGTGGAAAACAAGCAGGGTGGGATATCTTTGACGTTTGCTGTTTATTTGATGCACTGGCAAACTTAAATTTTATATTCTCCATAAACTGCTTATAGGCTTCCTTTACAGTTGAGCAGTGAACAAATTCTGCTCAATAAATCAAATGATTGTGTATGTCAAAGTTTTTGGTAATGAGGCAGCTGAAGGCGGAGGCCAGATCTTGATTGTCCTTTGGAAAATAGAGTTCAGGGGAAGTGTTAAATCCCTTTGCCGTTCCTTACAACAGACCTGAATCTCCATCTCCTCCTCTTCTTTGGTATAGCTACTATTTGCCAACATTTTTAAAAGATGAGACACATTATCAGGGATCATGGCCTCTAGTTTGGTCTTGTGATTGGGAGGTATTCAAGGAAAAGAGGCCTGTAGAAGCTTCCAACCCTCAAACCTTCATTCAGAAAGCAGATGCTTTGGTGCTGCTCAACACCACTTAGAGATTGCAGAAACTTCTGTTAGAGCAGCATTTGAAAGTCTGGGTGATGGTATTCTCTGCTGGCTTTTCTTGAACATTAACACATTGGGTGCTGCAGCCCTTCTTGGAAAAGAGAAGAGTATTTCCTGTAGAAGAAGATTGATTAGTGGGACCACAACATCTATGGATAATAAGAAACCAAGCTAGTGCCTCTCTCATTTTTGTACCATTGTTTCAGGCTTGGAGAATTGGTAAGGTTGCCACCTTTATCAACCTGTGCTCCTGAACAACATGGGATGCAAACATTAGCAGGTGACCATTCTCAACTTCTTGTGCAAGACAGAGTGGGTGATTAACCAACATGAATAGAGGAGGCTGCTATTTTTACTTCTGAGCAGACAGCGGCCCTGATTAGGAGAGAGGACATCCTGTCTTTAGAGGACTGCACCACATCACCCCTTAATCCCTGCATTTAAGTTACAATTTACAGGTAGCATGCATCAAGCATGTCCAGTAACTTCTTGGATTGAGAAGCCCAGTCCATTACATCCTTGACTGCAGCTAACCCATGACTGCAAGAGTGCACAGCAAATGCCCCAAAGCACACTTCCCCCACAAATTGTACACAAGGGAACCACTGTGACATGTCTGACCATTCATTCAAAGTGACTGTATTGACTTGGGGAAAGGCTGCAGCTCAGTGGTACAGCAGCTGTGTTGCATGCATAAATTGCATGTTCAATTCCTGGCATCTCTGAGTAGGATGGAATGAGGCTGAAAGGTTGGAAAGCTACTGCCAGTCAGTGCAGGCAATAATAATAATAATAATAATAATAATAATAATAATAATTTATTTATATCCTGCCCTCCCCAGCCAAAGCTGGGCTCAGAGTGGCTAACAACAGTAAAAATAACACAGTTTAAATAAAATCACAATCAATTAATTGAAATACATTCTAAAATCAATTCAGAGTCAAATTAATGGCAACCATTGGGCTAGAGTTCTATGAGGATTACCGAAGGAGGGGGTCAGACTGTGCCTTGGCCAAAGGCCTGGTGGAACAGGTCCGTCTTTCAGGCCCTGCGGAAAGGTGTCAAGTCCCGCAGGGCCCTAGTCTCTTGTGACAGAGCGTTCCACTAGATCGGGGCCACGGCTGAAAAAGTCCTGGCTCTGGTTGAGGCCAGCCTAACCTCCCTGTGGCCTGGGATCTCCAAGATGTTTTTATTTGAAGACCGTAAGGTCTACCAAGAGATAGAGCCAGCTGGACCAATAGTCTGATTCAGTGTAAAGCAGTTTCCAATTTGGTAACTATTCAAAGATCTAAATGGCTGCTCCAGAGGGTAGGACCCAAACCAAATGGATTCAAATGTCAAGAAAGAAGGTGATGACTT